TCCCTCCCCTAAGCTGACTTTCATTACAGTAAGTCTTTCACTACAGCAACAGAAAGAACACCAGAACAGTAATTTTTATTTTAGTGTTCAGTTTTCATATTTAGCCCACGTCTTTTTGTGATTATTCCCCCCCAAAAAATGTAAGATCACAAGTGTTACAAAAAAGGATCTACTCCAGGTGTCCACTGTCTTTAGTACTCCATTGCTGCAGACATTTTAGGATTGAACAGCTGTGTCCCTCAGCCTTTGGGATATCTAGAGAGAACAGGACAGACACTACAAGAATACATCCACAGAAGTTACCACTGTGTTTCCAAATTGCAGCAAGAGAGGACTAGAAAATATCCAAAACAGCACAGCAGGGTGAGAAGGGACTTCTAATATGCACAGGGACATCTGGACCTGGAAATAAACAGAAATGGATGATTTGTGAAAGTAAAGATGATAAATTAAGTGGCATTCCTGATAGAGGGATTACCCCAGACAGGTTCAGAGGAGGAAATGATGGATATGGATGAGGGAGAAGATAGTGGAAAGTGTCACTTACCACTTACTCACTGGGGAACATTTATCAAATGTGCTTGCCTGGGCCCTGCTTGGGAGCATTGAAGTGAACTCATTAGGGTCTCTCAATAACAGTTATGTTCTTACTTTCACCTCCCAGAGTGATTTTAATTTCAGCTTTGAAAACCACTTCACAATGGAAGAAAATAAGATATGAGTGTTTGAGACGAAGATGTTAAAAACATTACTTCTCACATTGAAGAATCTAAACTCTGGCCTGGAGAGCTGACTCAGCCGTGAAGAGTACTTGGCACTGTTGCAGAGGGCCCAAGTTGGTATCTCAGCACCCCTAGCACCATGTCAGGCAACTCACACTCCCTGGAACTCCAGCTCCAGGGATGCAACACTCTCTTTTGACCTCTGAAGAGACCACACATACACGATAAGGGGGTTGGAAGAGAAATATGCAGATAGATAGATAGATAGATAGATAGATAGATAGATAGATAGATATGTACATACATACATATAAAAGAGTCATATATTATACATGAGTCTATAATTTAGCAGCCAGTAGAAACTTATTTGCTTCATATTTTCAATATATTTATTTGCTTTGGAGAAAAAAATCACAGAGATCATTTGATTTTATTGTTCTTATTACATGTTTTTGTAAATACTGTTATTAGTATCTGTGTCTGTGATACCTACTGCTATTATTTCTGGGTCATCTGTTCTAGAAGACAATTTCCAGATGATAGAAAACTAAAGTGAGAACAACAGGAAATACATAAAACGTTCAGTAATCAGGTCACATATGTATTGAGATATTACTGGCAATTCATGGCCATTTCTAGAAAAATAATGTAAGATTTTCTTTTCAAGAAAAAAAATCCTACAATCCATGAGGCAGAAACATAACCTCAAACAGAAGTCTTTTATTTGAATTAGATGGCAAGTTTCATTGGCTGGATCTCAAGGCCTGTATTTTTATACAGCTAGTTTGCCAAATAAAATACAGCACACTTAAGCTTATTTGAATTTCAAACAAAAATGAGTCATTTTTTGTTTAAGTTTGTGAAATTAAACATAGTTTGAAAAGTGACTTGTTTATCTGAAATTCAAATTTAACTGCTGTGTTTTATAATCATTTGTTAAGTCTTAAAACTTCAACCTTGTAACTTGCTGAGCCAAGAAATACTCAGCACAGAATGAGGGAAATTGCAAATGACTAGGTTTCAAGGTATGAAAAACAAAAGAATACCGTCCTCTCTCCAGCCAAAGTGTACCAAACCTAAATGCTAATTCCTGGTAGATCTGTGTGCTGGTGCGTGAAGCTGAAGTTCCTACTCTTCCACTCATTTTGAGGCTGTTCCTTTTTGAAGGTACCTTCCAGAATCATGACCTCTCCTGTTCAGGGCAGCAGTCACAGCACTTGGAGCTTATTGGCAATGCAGACTCCTAGGCCTCCCAGACCTGCAAACAGGCTCCCTTGAGGTTGCTAGGCTCATACTGAGATATGCAGATTTAAATACAAAGCTTGAAAACATGCTTAAAGAAATAAATCATAAAATATTTTTAATTAGGAAGCAAAGAAGGAGGGAGGAAACAACCACCAACAATCCTAGTCTTTTCATAACAAAGAAAAGTTAACTAAAACTTTGCAACCTATGGAGAATACTGGTGTGTTAATGATATTGTACTTTAAGAGTTATATGAAAGTAAAATCATGTCCACAGCTGTTGGCTGAGGTAAGTGTAAACTATTGAATTTTAAGAAATAATTTCAACAGTGGGCAAAATTAACTTTTAAGTAGATAGATTCCGTGTTAATCTAAGCTGCTGTTTTCTAGTTTTGCAGTTTGTAGATAATGCAAATAATGACCTAGTGTAAGTCATCAAATATAGTTAGGAGAGTTTACTATTATGAGTGCCACCATCCAGCTGCTTGTCCCCTTTACATCTTTTGAATGTAGAGTCCCTGAGAATTACATCTGTAAGTGCAAGGTATGGGAATTAGTGTGTGGAACTGTCCTTGCCAGCTGGACCCAGAGGCCGTTATGTTTCTTTCTGTTGTAGAAAATAGATATGAAACAAGGAATTAGTAATGCTGCTTGTTCGGGGGAGCCATGGCTTTAGAGGAGTCCAGTTCTGAAGTCATGGAAACCAAATATACAGGCCCCAAGGCATATAGTATTTTCCCTAAAACAGGTAGGGACCATGAGTTAGTTACAGTGCCCACCTCCAAAGAGAGTCACATGTGTCCGTCAATGGTGATCTCCAGCCCACTACGGCACTTTTTTCTGCTTTGTGCCACTAGGCATAGTAGTGTTAATGTCTTCTTCGGGTAGCAAGGATCATTCAGACTCACTACCTCATGAGATTTAATCAACTAATAAGCATCGCACTTCCTGACCACATGGTGCTATGGTGGTGGTGCATAGTATTTTTAATAGGCAGAATGTAATTACCTCAGTCGGTGCTTTTCCAGAACATAAAGCTAATATTCATTCCTGCTTGATGTGAAATACTTCATCCTCAGCCATTAATCATAGATGGTGGCATGTCATTAGCAAATCTAGCAAGATACCAAGTGCCACTATATGTACACTGATATTTAACCTTTTTCACATTAAAAGTCTTTACATAGAAATAAAATTCCCTCAATATTTATTGCCTTATTTATGCCAAAATCACAGGCACTTTGATAAATGGAGTAATCATTTCTAGTGTCACTGTGGCTATGAAATGCATTTCAGTGTCTTCTGTGACTGTAACTTAATAATTCGTTTCAGCACATCTATTTAGAAATCACAGTGGGTTTACTTGATAGAGCACTGGAGAGAAAGGCTCCTCTTGTCAATTCAGATAGCTCGTGTTTTAGAATTAGTGTCTATCATGCAATATTAACTTCATAGGCTTAGGTTTCTTTACAACCTTTGATGATGGGTCCCATCTTTAAGATTTGACATCTTTAATGTTTGACCATAAAAGTCATAAATAGATGCGCTTGGTTTGATAAATAATTTCTTAAGACTGAATAGTATTTCTTCTATCTTATTTGCTAGGAAATCTAACAGCTAATTGAAACCACACTCAAAGGAACGGTTAGAGAATTTTATGGACTTGTTTTTTTTTTTTTTTTTTAGCAAATTGATGACAAAGAAAGTGATATTGGTATTGACTTCTAGAAAAGAGAATCATACATCAGAGTTACATGTGGAAGTTCACACCTTTATTTTTTTAATATTTATTTATTTATTATGTATACAATATTCTGTCTGTGTGTATGCCTGCAGGCCAGAGGAGGGCACCAGACCCCATTACAGATGGTTGTGAGCCACCATGTGGTTGCTGGGAATTGAACTCAGGACCTTTGGAAGAGCAGGCAGTGCTCTTAACCTCTGAGCCATCTCTCCAGCCCCCAAGTTCACACCTTTAATCCCAGCACTTGGAAGAAGGAAGTAGCCATTTCATAACTTCCAGGCTAGCCTGGGCTACATAGAAAAATTCTGTCTCACAAAAAAACTGTGGAAGTTTTATTTATTTATTTATTTTGGTTTTTCGAGACAGGGTTTCTCTGTGGTTTTGGAGCCTGTCCTGGAACTAGCTCTTGTAGACCAGACTGGTCTCAAACTCACAGAGATCCGCCTGCCTCTGCCTCCCAAGTGCTGGGATTAAAGGCGTGCGCCACCACCGCCTGGCTTTGTGTGGAAATTTTTTTTAAAAATGAATCTTAAGGGGTGGAGAGATGACTCATCTATTAAGAGAACTTACTCTTTTTTTTTTTCAGAGAAATCAGGTTTGATTCCCAGAACCCACATCAGGTGACTCATAAAACTACCTATAACCCATTTCCAGGAGATCAGCTGCACTCTTCTGGCCTCTGTGGGCACCTGCATCTGTGCAGTACATAAAAGCTCATGGGCACATACATACATTAAGAAATCTAAGTAAATAAATAAATATTAAAATTATTGTTTATTTTGTTGTATGTGGTCATTTTCAGACACAAATGATTATACGGCAAGCATTAAACTTTGCCTTTGAGAAACTTGGGAGAGGGTGCAGCCAGTAGACTGCCACTTCCTGCACATTGGTAGAGTCAGAATGGAGCCTCACGTACAGGGCTCTGGGACCTTACAGAGGGGGCATATTAATTCCAGTGTTGGTTGTTGTAAGAGATCACTTAATGTGATGCCTTGAGAAGATAACCTAGAACAGCTAGAAAATATCTTTTTGAGAGAGACAGATGTTCATGTATCACTGGCTGGCCTTGAACTTCCCATCCTTCTGTTTTCACCCCCTTAGAATTTGGATTACAGGAATGTGCCACCTATGATTGATGTGCATGATGCTGGGAATTGAAATTAAGATGTCTATCGTGGCAAGCACTCTATAAACTAAGCAGCATCCATAGCCTGGTAAATATATATTTCGTGAGGATAATAGCTCACTGTGATGCTCATTTTTTTTTTTTGCATTTTCCTGTTTTAGAGACGCCCAAGCAGATGGCCAGCAATGAAGTTTCGAAGAGGATCGGGACACCCTGCCTATGCGGAAGTTGAGCCTGTTGGAGAGAAAGAAGGTTTTATTGTGTCAGAGCAGTGCTAAAGTTTTAGGACAGAGCAGCACCAGTACTGGCTTACAGGTGTTACGACTAAACTTTGCTTATACCTTTAAAACAGACACACACCACAGCCACACACAAAGGAGCCCTAAACTGCTGTAGCCAGAAGGGAGACAAGATTTCTGGACGAGCTCAGCCCAGAAACATTGAAAGGAAAACTCAAACTTGTACAAGACACCATGTACACTGACTGTAACATTCCCTACTGGAATGACATCCATGGTTCACGAAGAACATCTCCTGTGGACTTGCCAGAAGTGTGACAAGATGACAATGTTTTTGGTTTAGGTGCAGGGTTGCAAAGGGATCAAGGAAAAATAATGATAATAAATAAAGCTTTAGTTCACAAGGGATTTACTCCTTTGATTCCAATGTTCTCTGATGTCTCAAAGATAACCATGTTTCAGAGTCTGAATATTTTCACTGGGAAGAGCAATGATGAATGCTTCAAGATTGCTGGAAACAATGGCTCACATGAGAGCAAAACCAAACAGAAACAGAGGTTTCTCTATCTTTTTCAAACAGACTTTCGGCAAAAGAATTAGTTTTTGCTCTAAACCCAGACGCTCCACCAGGTTCATTACTTCTCAGGATGAACCTTTCATCTGTTTGGAAGTTCATTATGCCTGCCTCTTCCTGGGTAGTGAGTACCCTTTCTGTTGGCTGGGACACAATTCCCAGTGCTAAGCTGAGGACTAGAGAGGAGGGCATAGCCGGTGAGGGTTTCCATTCTCTCACTTCAGAATAAAATGAGTTTTGTTGTCAGGGGTGCTGCCTCCTCTCCCACCTGGACTCCTGAGAAGCCTCATTTAATCTTGGCTAATGGTAACAAACAGAAATAACAGGAAGAATTAGGTGGTCATTTTTTGAGACAAATATCTTAAGGGATTTTAACACTGTTATTTTGAAAGTTCACCATATCTGTATGACAAACCTGTTTCATTGTCAATTCCTGTCTAAGAAATCATTCAAGTCAACGTATTTCTGGTTATAGGGGAAAAAAAACAGAATGAAATAACCCTGCTGAATCACACAGTAATTTTCTTTAAAGCACATAGTAGTTACATAATATATATATATATATAAATATATTTTTGTTTATAACTAACACAAGGCAGGCTCTTGTGGCTCTAAAGAGTGTATTTTGTCATCAAGACAAAGCAAATGCAAGATGAATCACGGCATTCCTCCCACAACACTGTAAGATAATCCTTAATATTAGCATATTTTTATGTCACTTCCAGAAGTGGTTCATTTAGTTGCAGCATGCTTCGTCTTGCCGCCTATGGATCCACTCTTTCATTCATTCCAACCCCCTCTCTCTTGATTCAAAGAAGCAGTTGTAAATGTCCCTTGAGTGGAGTTCTCATTGATACTCTGATTGCAATCCAAACTTTGAAAAATTCCCAAAAGAGAAGAAAGAAAATGTAACAGTCAAAAAGGAAAGTTGTTAATGTAAACTATATCTCTAAACCTGAGGTTCTGTGGTGTAGAATTCTGCCAACCACTATACCTGTAAACCTTTGGCATTCTGTACCAAAAAAAAAAAAAATCATAGTTCTTACAAGGTACATCATTCAACATTTGCAGATTTTTGCAGATTCAAGTTACACAAAGCAAAGGTTCCCAGTAGTAGCACTTCACTGACAGTTTACAATCTATGTACGATGTCTACACTGGACAGCATCCATCCCCTAACAGAGTGTCACATTGTTATCCCCAGTGTCTGGCATAAGTGAGGGCTCTTTTCTTTCAATGTATTTTGCTTTACACCTTGAAGTATTTGAAGACAGTAACATTTCCCTAACCTCAGATAAAACTATCAGAAAACAAAGGTAGACAAGCAGCACGATTGTAGGATGTGATGACAATCTGTGCCCCAGGTATGCTCAAGCAATAAGAAATAAATCAGCTTATTCTTGTTGGTGTAATTTTGGTGAGAAAGCAGTATCCAAATGACTTGCCAATGTAACTGGTGTAACTGGTATTTTACAGACACATAAGGTATACATAGACGACTTTCCTTTTAGGATAAGATGATGCTTTCACAAGCTTTGACAATAAGCCTGGCTTCCAACAGCAATGGATTGGCAGCCACATAAATCTTTTGCATCTGCATCTCACTCAACATAGTTCCTACAAGTAGTAATATTATCTTTATACCCGTCAAAGCTCATCTTCCGTTTTTAATTAAAACCATTGATAATTCTTTTAAATGACTACATAAGACCCTCTGACTTACTCAGTGTATCAAAGAACCAAATAACAGAGAAATTGGAAGCAAGAAGGTTTCTAAGTTATGTGGAAACTTTCTAAGATAGCTGAGAGAGAATAAGGAGTACTGCATTGTATGAATCCACAAAAATCCTGGTAGAATCTCTTTGCTCTATGAAACTTTAATTCTGTTTGTACTTCTGGTCTGTTCTTGAATTCTGTTTACTTCAGAGGAAGGGCACATAGAGGTTCTAGAAATTTCAAAAAGGAGTCCAGTATTGTGGCCTATATATGGATTATGTATTACAAAGGATAGGCACAAGTACCTTAGTCAATATTCTGTGAGCATGAAGAAATGATGTCAATGGTGTTCTTCTGAGAAGAATAACTATAGGATGCATACAACCATAAGGAGAAACCAGGGAAGTGGTCCTGCAAGGGAACTTAGCTATTTTACCTTAACTGCAAGAATAATGATCAGTGGTCAGAGCTGCAAATCACCCAACCAGATGGTACAGACTTGTTTGTGAATGATTGGGACTTTAAAGAACACTAATAAATAAAAAGATAAAGGTTAATGGCCAATGACAATTGAGCACAAATATTTTTCTGTAAGGTTTCTAGGGTATTTGGTTGACTCTCAAATGAATGAGATACAGAGTTACTGTCCACTATTGAATCTACTAGCCAATTATAGCTAATGATTTTTAAATTAAATACAATTTATATTTAATCTTCTGGTCACATTTCAAGTGACCCATAGCCACACATGGCTCATGACTACCATTGTAGGCTACACACAACATTCTAGCAATGCAGAAAAGTTTACTATAAAGTACTATCGTGTTTCAATTGAACTATTTGTTCTTGAAGAAAATAGTAGAAGGAAGAAGGAAGGAAGGAAGGAAGGAAGGAAGGAAGGAAATATGACAGCTCTTAAACACACCCAAACATTTTTTCTTATAACCTAAGAGAATCCACAAAGAGAAATAAAGAGAAGACCAGTTGATATGGATTTGTGTCTTTATAGCGTTTTCTTGGAAAAAATCACTTCAACTTCCATGAGTCTCAATTTTCTAATTGGAAAAAAATTTTAAATATGTTGTCCCATATTTTTTGCAAGATTGTTTTGCAGACTGATTAAATATACAGATTGTAAAGACTTTCAAAACCTGACATCAATGTAATCTGTGAAGCACATCTGTAGGGCCAAGACTGAATTGCACACAAAGGAAGACTAGTTCATTATTCGAAAAAGCAACTAAAGACAATCGAGGCAATACATTCTTGAGGAAATGCCAAAGCACATAACAAAACTGCTTGAATTTCTTTTTGTCTGTTTTTTTTTTTCCTTTTGTCCATGTGTTTTCTTTTCTGACTTTTTTCCTTATTTGCCCACTTGCTGTGTCTCTTCCACTTGCCTGGGCTCTTTCTTATGTGGAGTCACTTGGTGCCTTTGTTTTTCTGCTTTTACACTTTTCTCTTCATAATAAATGGAATCTTAGGATCTTAGCAGAGGCTCGTTTGAAAACAAAGCAAATGATAATGCAAACATTAGTTATCTCATATTTATTTCATTTCTATTACAAATGTAAGGAGCTATGAAGTGAAAACAAAATATGGTGGAGACTTGTTTTTTAATGTAAATTCTGCAAATGAAGACTTTATAAAAGGAATAAAACACTTTAAAGTATGATCACATCCAGATAATATATGGTGTGGGAAGGCATCTCATACATTTTATTGATAAGAAAACCAAGGTTAAATAAATATAATAAGTCTTTCTGTTGTCAATAGTGGGTTTTGAACTTAAAATTCTCAATTGGTCTTTTTGGTTTCAACCGTTATTGCTTTCATTTTTTTGTAAGCAATTAAGACAAACAAAAAGATTAAAGGCATAATCCATGACAAAATCAACTTTATCTCCTGTAGGGATGATCTCTATATCTTCTATAATACTATGAAACATGAAACAACCTTCATGTATCCTGTTACTATCTTAAGAATGTTGTTATTCTGTTTCAAATTCCATCTCTCATAGGGTACTTATGTGTCCTCTCTCCACCTTCTTTGTTGTGGTCCTCAGGTTAGCAATGCTATTTGTCTTTGTCATTTAAGTGTTCTTATGCCTTTGTTTCATTCCCACTCAATTGTATTTGAAAACTAATACTGTTTATTGAAGAATTTGCATCTCATAGATAATCAGTTTTTACTTGTTCATGAAAACTATTCAGAGACTGTGTCCTGAGATGATCTTATGGGAAATTTTGACATCAGAGGTGTTACCTACAATATACTCATATCATTGTGTTTTTATAAAGCACTTTACATTTTACAGAGTACTTTGATTCATCCTTTTACTTGTTCATACATTGAACCATACAATTAATTTTACTTTGTTAAATACCCGCTGGAAGCTACTCTGCAGATCTTGCGGTATGGAAAAACAAAGTGGTGTGTGTCTGTCTGTGTGTGTGTGTGTGTGTGTGTGTGTGTGTGTGTGTGTGAGAGAGAGAGAGAGAGAGAGAGAGAGAGAGAACAGTTCATGTGGATGGAAGATGGCTCAGTGGTTAAAAATACTTGCTGCTCTTTCAGAAGAACAGAGTTTGGTCCACAGTACCCAGAGGGGTGTTCACAGCTATCTGCTACTCAAGGTCTAGAGGAGCAAGAATCCTTTTCTGTTTTCTACAAGCACTTTTTCTCTCTCTCTCCCTCCCCCCCCCCACACGATATAAACATTAACAATTCTAAATAAATAGTTTAGGGAAATAAACATAGCATTATAATACAATTAAATCCTCAAACACATCTTTGCAAATAGGAAAAGCATTACTCTATAAACATTTAATTCAAAGAACTATTCTTTTTTCAAATGAGCTGAAATTTTACAAATATGAAGGAAAAGTCACAAAGGTGTCTGGTCCAAGAAAAGTTTCCTATCCTCTTGAGTAATGACTGAGCAGACCCAGAGGGGAAGTCTTCTCTTGCACAGATACTTCTGCTGCTGGTTTTTAGTTTCCTTAACTCAGCACTGTTGACATTTGAGATCTCTAAGTCTCAGTTGAAGGTTCAGAAAGTGATTCTACTTTTTACAAATAGGGAATTTGGCTACCTTCACGAATTTTATTGATTTTTTGGCAGCATACCCATCCTTTCAAACAAAAGATATTTGTAGACATGATTGGTGTTCACAGGATGGAGAAATGGGAGAGCCTGGTCAAAACATCCCCTGATAAAATCGCTGTATTTCCTTTTAAGTAAATTCGGTCAGGATTCAGGTCCAGTACAGTAGTAGACACCTATAGGTCCATGGGAGAGTGAGACAGGAGAAGTGCAAGTCTATGCTGAAAGGAGAGAGAGTGAGAGAGGGACACAGAGAGAGAGAGAGAGAGAGAGAGAGAGAGAGAGAGAGAGAGATTCAAAACAAATTCTCTTTGTGCGTATTTAATTTTTATCATATGTGGATTTTCATTCATAACAAAGCTTGGAATCACACACTTCAAAGTACAAAAGTAACAGTTCAATCGCAACCCGACATCACCTTTATCTAGTACTCCATCTCTTCTAACAATTATTAAAAGGAGATGAGAAGATAGACTATTTTAAGAAACTTGACATTTGCTTGTTGAATCATCCGCCACCAGGTTATCAAGCAATGACACCTTATAGCCATATCCCCGAGGCAGCACTCTGTACCCAGTATAGGGCCATGAACCTGAAATCACACAGTTTGAGTATCTCAAAGACTTGGGTCATTTCCTTAATTTGCAAATTGGAGCCTCACATGGAAGTTGAAGCTGCTTGAATCTAATTTTAGGAATGACTGGATGGCCTTTCTATTTTTAATTCCTGTCAGGATCATCAGAATATTCTCTCCTGCCACCTACTCAACTATGTTCTTAAAGCAATAGTGTTGATACTGAGGGTATTGTATTATTCTATGAATCTAAAAATGCTCTGAGAAATTTAAAATTGGGAACCTCAAACTTGAAAAGCTTAAATAGGTCACACCAGTGTGCCTTATGTCAGTTTCCCTGAAGACCAGAAGCTTCCAGTGTATAACTGTCTATACAGTCAGTTTATACTTGGGTTTATTTTGTACCAGTTGGAAAACTTGGTGAAGTTGCATGAAGACAGTCCTTTAAATGAATATTTTAGAAACATAATGAGCAAAAGTTGAAATATCTGGTCTCCCTTTACATTTTGTTGACAACTAATGTAACATGGTAGTGTTCAGAATTATCATGTATTAATTAATATAAGTGATAGAAAATTCAAGGAGAAAAGTTTGTAGACTTTGAGTATTGACAAAGACTACGTGGAAACATTCTCACTGGAGAGGAATAAAATCAGAAAACTCTGATCACAGGAATCCACATAGGTGTGTAGAGTTTTATACTCTCAATGTCCTTTCAGTCTACATGACATAACCATGACAACAGCCAGTGCCCAGTGCCATTAGAATTATAATTGCAAAGAAGCCTGATACTTTAAAAAGAATTCCTTTAAGAATTTTATAGAACACAACACATTGGCTTCTCAATATTGTTTATTCTGAAGCAGCAAATACCAAAAGAATGCATTGTCAACACTAAAAGGTCCTGTTGTTTTATAGCCATGATAAAAGGCTAAACAATGTAAATCACAAGCTGGTATTCACCTATCTAATTTTTTTCTTTCTTTTTTGTTTTTTTGTTTGTTTGTTTGTTTTTTGAGACAGGGTTTCTCTGTAGCTTTGGTGCCCGTCCGGGAACTAGCTCTTATAGACCAGACTGGCTGCAAACTCCTAGAGATCCGCCTGCCTCTGCCTCCCGAGTTCTGGGATTAAAGGCGTGCACCACCATCACCCGGCTCTAATTTCTAAGATTTATTAATATTTGGTAATCATTCAAAAATATTCTAATGGGATTAAATGAAAAAATTGGGCTGGCAGGTACTGATATATGTACTCATTTTATATTTCAGCCTAAAAATGTCAATGATGCTATCTCTTTCAAGGGAGTTTAGACTTTTAACAGTAGCCTTGCTTCATCTTAGCATTAAAAAATATGTCTGTCTTAATTAAGGCATGAACCATTTATCATGCAGTTGTAAGCCTTTGGGGCTCCTCAGACATAGCAGGAAGCAGTTTTAGAAGATTGACACACTGGATGAAGTTAGTACATAATTGTACAGTGTAAACATCAATCCCAGTGAAGTAAATAAAATTCTATTAAAAATCCATGTGTACTATCAGGCAGAGGGTTCAACTCTTCAGAGCAGCATTCAAATAAATATTCAATGAGGAGAAACTGAAATGTAGGTCATTCAGACTCAGAAGCAGAGACTGAAAGTGACACCAGGAACTGTGTGGTAAACTCAAAATATAGGCCATGCCCAATTAGTCTAACCCTCAGCCATAGCTCACACATATCTGTTTGATGGTATCAATCCTAGCATCACTGAGTCCCTTGCTCTGAACTTGAATTATTAATAATCAAGCAGCTGATTTTCCATTTATCTCCTTAGATTTAAAAGACACAAATTTAATGTTCAATTTCTTTTATACCTGTCAACCACACAAAAGCTACAAAAATATCATAAAAGATTTTTTTTCTGAGAATTCAATTAGAATAGTTTCATCTATGATCTCCAAGATTTACCTATGAGAAATTTGTTCATCTCAGGAACTGAACCCCAGCGCCACTGCTTAGATGTTGTAAAGACAATTATACAAATGTCTAATGGTGAATTGAACAAAGCTATGTTCAGTTTGGCATAGCATGGCAGGGAAATAAACCACAATCATTTCCAATAGGCTCCTCTGAAAATAATATTAAAAGAAATCAAAGCTTTCCTTGTAATGGAATGTTAAAAAATTGTTTTTGAGACGTCAACTAAGCATCTTGAGACACAGACGTCCTATGTATGGTGTAAGTACTGACGGAAAACTTCATTGAGCACTCAAAACAAATCTCACATTTGCCTGAGTTGACGCATCTGGGTAGGGACCTGGCAAGTACATTATTTTTAAAGGAAAAAGTAGAGACAGCTTTCTTGCATGCCAACTGGGATCCTGGGAACTTCAGATGCCAGGAATGTACTACTGTTTCTGGTCTTGCTGCTTGTGGTCACTTGAAATGTTGAAGGGTGAAAAGAGAAAAACTTGAGGACTGGAGTAGAAGGTGTGCTATCCACATTTTCTGCCAGTTGCACTGTGCAGAGAATACGTGTGATGTGACTCAAAGTGGATGTAATTGGACTGGCTCAAAATCACAAAGCTCCCCATCTGCTGCTGAGAAGAACACACTAACGAAAAATCTGATCCCAGAAACGCAGTCAGCCCAAACAAAGGGGAGCTTGTGGGCAAGCAGGGCCCATTGCCAGTATGGGTCTTACCTTTCTGAGCGCCTTCTGTGTCTTTCAGGTGATGGCAAATTTTACAGAGGATTTTCTAAACTTTCATTATTATGGGGCTTGAAAAGCAGCATTCCAACTTTCTCCCAGTCTTCCAGGCATCATTGCTGTTTCTTCTGCCCGGTCCATGAATCATTTTGAGCCTGCATCTATCGTGCTACAAGTTTGTCTATGCTTCTCATTGACGTCACACTGGACATACCTGAACCCACAAATAGAAATACAATTGCATCTAATTTTGTACAGATGGTATGAGAGCAAAATGTGTGTGAACACTATTCAAGTTCTTGTTCAAATTCCACAATTCAGATGATGCATAACACCAAAAGCTTCCTGAACATTTTTACTGGAAGACAAATTAATAACTAGTTATTGACCTATTTTCTTACACTCCATTAATTTTCTATCTTCTACCTGAGAATCCATATGAGTGGAATAATTCTTTAATCTTTCTACACAGTTTCTTATACCGAATTTTTCTGCCATTCGGGTTCTGCATACACTGTAGAAGGAATTCCTTTTGTAACTAGTATTCCATGATCAATCCAGCATACTGACTGGTGCCTGTACACTATAACATGAAGGACTGGAAGCTGACAGTGACCAAATGTTACCTATACTCTGCTATCGGTTGCTAATTTGAGAATGAAACTGTGTTCTTCTACTTTTAGGTTGGAGTTAACAAATTTTGAACTCTAGAGGGGAAGAAGGGAGCTATTTGTGTGACGCTGCTGTCATGTTTGGCTGCATATTAAAAACAATAAATGAGCATTGTTTTAATTCCTTAAATACTTTCACCCTTGTCATTCAACACATTTCTGTCTCCTCCATTTTGCCTGTTTTGTAAAAGGAGCAGTTTGCAGACAGAGTACAGAGCAACTGGCTAATGTCATGCCAGACAATCCTTTTGATCCTAATCATTTCCTGCTCTAGGAACTGGACACCAGGTAAAGTAGCTGTAGAAAACATGGCGTGCAGGGCCCAGGTGAGATGGTTACACAGGTAAGTGTACTTGCCCCTAAACCTGAAGACCAGAGTTCAATTTCCAAAGTCATATGGTGGA